AGACCAGAGTCCAGGTCAGACCAGAGACCAGAGACCAGAGCAGAGACCAGAGTCCAGGTCAGACCAGAGACCAGAGACCAGAGCAGAGACCAGAGTCCAGGTCAGACCAGAGACCAGGTCAGAGACTAGACACCAGGTCAGACCAGAGTCCAGGTCAAACCAGAGTCCAGGTCAAACCAGAGACCAGAGACAAGAGCAGAGACCAGAGACCAGGTCAGAGACTAGACACCAGGTCAGACCAGAGTCCAGGTCAGACCAGAGTCCAGGTCAAACCAGAGACCAGAGACCAGAGACCAGAGCAGAGACCAGAGACCAGAGACCAGAGCAGAGACCAGAGACCAGAGACCAGAGCAGAGACCAGAGACCAGGTCAGACCAGAGTCCAGGTCAGAGACTAGACACCAGGTCAGACCAGAGTCCAGGTCAGACCAGAGTCCAGGTCAAACCAGAGACCAGAGCAGAGACCAGAGACCAGGTCAGACCAGAGTCCAGGTCAGAGACTAGACACCAGGTCAGACCAGAGTCCAGGTCAGACCAGAGACCAGAGACTAGAACAAAGACCAGAGACCAGGTCAGACCAGAGACCAGGTCAGACCAGAGTCCAGGTCAAACCAGAGTCCAGGTCAAACCAGAGTCCAGGTTTGACCAGAGACCAGGTCAGAGACTAGACACCAGGTCAGACCAGAGTCCAAGTCAGACCAGAGACCAGGTCAGACCAGAGTCCAGGTCAGAGACTAGACACCAGGTCAGACCAGAGTCCAAGTCAGACCAGAGTCCAGGTCAAACCAGAGTCCAGGTCAGACCAGAGTCCAGGTCAGACCAGAGTCCAGGTCAAACCAGAGTCGAGGTCAAACCAGAGACCAGAGACCAGAGCAGAGACCAGAGACCAGGTCAGACCAGAGACCAGGTCAGACCAGAGTCCAGGTCAAAGCAGAGTCCAGAGCAGACCAGAGACCAGGTCAGACCAGAGTCCAGAGCAGACCAGTGACCAGAGCAGAGACCAGAAACCAGAGAAGACCAGAGACCAGGTCAGACCAGAGTCCAGAGCAGACCAGAGACCAGGTCAGACCAGAGTCCAGAGCAGACCAGAGACCAGGTCAGACCAGAGTCCAGAGCAGACCAGAGTCCAGGTCAGACTGTGGTCCACCAGGGGCCTCGTG